TTTATTATTATTACTGTTATTACTATTATTATTATTATTATTATTATTATTATTATTTACTATACTATTATTACTACTACTATTATTATTATTATTATTATTATTATTATTATTATTCTACTTTTTAAAAACTTGAAGAGCTAAAACACCTTTTTGGCAAAACAAATCTACCTATATTACCTTAAGAGCATGAACTCCTCACTTGAATGTCAAATTCCTATAATATTCCTAACTTGATTTGTGACTTTTTCGATGAGTTGTCACTGTTTTGATAAGTTGTGACTTTTTTCAAAGGGTTATAATTTTTTCAATGAGTTGTGACTTTTTCAAAGGATTGTGATTTTTCGATAAGTTGTGACTTTTCCAAATAATTGTGACTTTTTCAATAAGTTGTGACTTTTTTCAAAAGGTTGTGACTTGTTCAATAAGTTGTGACTTTTTCAAATGGTTGTGACTCTCGGAAAGGTCATAACTTTTAAGATTAGACACGAAAAACATTTGTTCATACTACCTTTTGTTGAAAATAAATAGAGAGGCTTCCTCTCATTTTTCAACCACAAATTTTTTTAATCTTCAACTGTCTTCTTCTTTCATTTTAAAATTGTTTGTGCGATTTATAGTTGTTGAGTGAGTTGAAAGTGTAGCGGAACATGTGGCACCACTATTTTGATGAAGTAAGTCATTTATCCTAAGAGGGTATATTTCATTACCTCGAGTACTTGAGGAAAATAATTTTGATGAGATACAATTATTTTTTTGCTTGATATATACATTAGTATGTAATGTTCCAATATCGAAGTTAACATGTAGTCTAAATTCATTTATTTTTGTTAACAACTTCTCTGGTGATGTAGATACATACTTCTGAATATCTTTTTCCAAAATTTAGAAAATTGTCACAATTCTTTTTTAATGTTCAAGACAAAAGAATGACTTTATTTATCAATATTATTTATGTGATTTTGACTTTCATGAAGTTTCCTTCAAATTAATTATAACTATATAAATATTGCCTTTTGTTTTACTTATTTACTTATTCTTCATATTTCTGATTTTTGACGAAGAAAAATTCATATGACTTGTAGTAATGTCAGTTGAAGCTTGTATTAGTTAATTTTTATTATTTATTTAATAGTTTAATATATGAGATAAATATTCTCATTAATGCATATTTTATATATATATATATATAGGTATTTGTATTTAAATTAAAGATTATATACGTAACAAATGTATCATCAAGTTAACAAGATCTTCTAACTTCAAAATAAGTTATTTTAAAATGTTCTGAGTAATTTTTTTCTAATAAAAGAAACTCATAACAAATATCAAAAATATGTAAATATATAAAATATAGTTGTTCCCTTCACATGTTCATATGACATTAAAACAATTTAACGTCGAATACATATGCAAAGCACATCTGTTAGATGACAAGAATAATACAAAACAAATAATGTTTATAAGATAATATTAGTGAGATAAGACTAATTACAAGATTGAACCTCATCAAATTGAAATAAATATATACATTATTACATTAACTAATAAAAAATTTCATTAACCATCTTCATAGGTTTGTGTAAATATGAGATATATATGACGATCAATATTGAACATCACAAAAGAATCTGCAATATTATCTTTTGCTAAGCTTATTATTTAAATCTTCACTTAAATAAGCAATATTATTTAATACAACATATATTTTGAAACTGGAAATCACGTGCGTTGCACGTATCAGAAAACTAGTTTAAAAAAATAAGCCTAAGACTTAAAGACATGCATATACATATAATTTACATATATACATTACCCAAACATACATAAACCTAATATATACACACCATATACAACCGAGTGTATATGTTGTGTATACTTTAGTCATGTTTGACAAACAAGTCATATGTGTGAGTTCAATTCTATACCCTTTTTTCTACCCTATTTATGAGAAATTATTATTTTTATTTTTATTTTTTTGAAAAAGAAGAACAGAAATGTCAGTAAGGCTAATCTTCTAGTGTCTTACAATATCTTGAATCCTATTTTGTGTTTATCTCTCTTTATGAGATTCAAGACAAAAATGTGAATCTACGAGACACAAAATAGGAGGCAACGTAGCAGAGTCAAATAGACAAAGTAGAGAACTCTACACTAATTGTTTTTTAGTCCTCTGCCTCTATAAATAAACATCCTTTAAAATTGTGATCATGCAAACTATGTAACTATGTTAAGGCTTCTAATCCTTCTTATCTTGATTTATGAATTTTCAATTCTGTTTGTGGAATCCCACAACTTTTGATTTCCTTCATTTAATGTTTGAAGTTACAGAAATTTAACTTGTTGGGGATCAGTCACTGCAGCCAATGGAACTCTTAATCTGACACCTGATCAGCCACACAACAATTCCAACAAAGTCCGAAGAGTCTTGTTCAATCACTCAATACCTGTGTGGCCTGCTTCTTTTTCCACCTTATTTACTATAAGGATTTCGACACATCAATCGATTACTGGTGATGGAATGCCGTTCCTCATAGCACAGGACAATAAGCCCTCCCCGCCAGATAGTTATGGCTCGTTTATTGGAATTCTTGATCCTTCAACCCAAGGTTAGCTAGCTCCTGCATACACTTTAAGAAGACAAATGAAGTTTGCATTCAGTTCTTGATTCATCACTTAAAAAGTTTCTTCTTTTAAAATGCAGGAGGCACACTTGATGAGCTTGCTGTGGAGTTTGATACTTATAGAAATGAACATGAAATCGATGGAAACCATGTTGCCGTTGTAACTACAAGTATGGAGAGTCCTGTTGCAGTTAAAAGTTTAAGTGATGCTGGAATTGATCTAAGGAGTGGAAGAAATATTACAATAAAGATTGATTATGATGGTTGAACTAAAGTTCTTGAAATATCGGTAGCATATGCAGGGCAACCTCTAGTGAACTTTCTAAGACAAGAAATTATCATGCAGGAAGCAGTTCCACGAAATGCTTATGTGGGATTGTCAGCTTCCACTGCCTATTTCTTAGAGGTACATCATGTTCTTAACTGGAATTTCACATTACTTGAATTGCCAGAAGAATCTCTAAAGTATGGGGTTGATCCGAACAAGGAAAATATTGCTCTGCTGGTTGCTACTTCTATCGCGATTATCTCATTGCTAGTGGTTGTGTCGTCTCTTTATAGCTCGTAAGGATGGAAACGAAAGATTTCAGAGGAAAGAGGACATCGAAATGCTAACAGGAACTGCAGCTAGTGGTCCACAGGTATTTACTTACCAGAAACTCTCCAAGGCTACTAAAGGCTTCAGCAAAGATAACTTATTGGGAACTGGAGGCTTTGGTAGTGTTTACAAGGGGGTGTTTTATGATTCTGCTACAACAGTAGCTGTTAAACAAATCAACGTGACATCTAAGCAAGGTATGTTTTCCGTTTTAAGTTCCCTTGATTATATGTAGATGTGGTGCCACACTGTGATTAAAATCTCAAATTACATAGAAGTATTTATAATACCAGGTTAGAAGGAATACTTGGCTGAAATATGTACAATTGGGTGCCTATGGCACAAAAACTTGTTGCAGCTACTAGGCTGGTGCTATGACGGAGAGAAACTCCTGTTAGTGTATGAGTACATGCCAAATGGAAGCCTTGATAAATACATCGGCAAGATTTTTCTTGATTGGGACACCAGATTCAAGATTCTATCAGGTCTAGAATCATCACTTGTGTATCTTCATGAAGAATGTGGTAATCCTATTGTATATCGAGACATTAAGCCGAACAATGTGATGCTAGACACCAAGTATAATGCTCACTTGGGTGATTTTGGGCTAGCAAGATTACTCCAAAATGAGAACTTTGTTACAACAATGGTGGCTGGCACTCCAGGATACCTAGCACCGGAAGTTAGCTATACAGGGAGAGCTACCCCGGAGTCTGATGTCTATAGTTTTGGAATGGTTGTATTAGAAGTGGTATGTGGACGAAGATCAAAAGGGATTATGGATGAAAATAGCTTAGTCGATAAAGTATGGAGTTCATATGAGAATGGTACATTAAGTGGTTGGATGCTGTATTGATATATCCAATAGCTGATAGTAGTTATGTATGCCCTGTGCAGTGTGTACCTAATAAAGTGGGAATGACTGTGGTCCCTAATGAGAAAAATGATCTTGTTTCAATGAGTCCGGTGACTGGATGAAGGGTATGTATGGATTACCAGAAATCAAATATATGGACCGAGAAAGATCATTTTTCTATGCCCTTCATGGATTAAATGTTAGATAGATTTGCAAGAAAGGGGTGATACTATTTTCTTGATGTCTATTCGGATTTTAATCAGATTTATATTGCATCGGAAGATCAAGAGAAACCACCTTTACTTGTACTTATGGGACCTTCGTGTTCAAGAGAATGTCGTTTGGGTTATGTAATGCACCTGCTATATTTCAGAGATGTATGATGTCAATATACTCCTATATGGCGGAAGAAACTATTGAGGTGTTTATAGATGATTTTTCACTGGTTGGTGACTGCTTTGAGCGGTGTTTGAATCATTTGTCTGAGGTTCTTAAGAGGTGTAAAGATTGAAATCTTGTGCTAAATTGGGAAAAATGTCACTTCATGGTGAAAGAAGGTATTGTATTAGGTCTTCGCATTTCACAGAAGGGTATAGAGGTTGATCGAGCTAAAGTTGAGGTGATAGAAAGACTTTCTCCACTTATCTCTGTAAAAGGTGTGAGAAGTTTTCTTGGGTATGCAGGCTATTACCGGAGGTTCATCAAGGATTTTTCAAAGATTGCACATCCTTTGTACAAGTTGCTTTTAAAAGAGTGTAAGTTTCATTATGATAAATCTTATCTTAAGGTATTTGGTGAGTTGAAGGAAAAGTTGGTGTCTGCATTTATCTTCATTTCTCCGGATTGCAGCAAGCCCGTTGAGGTGATGTGCGATGCGAGAGGGGTTGCTCTTGGTGTGGTATTGGGACAAAGAAGCGAGAAAATCCTTCACACCATTTACTATGATAGTAAAGACCTTAATGAAGCCCAAAAGAACTACACTGTGACTGAACAAGAGCTCCTTGCAGTAGTCTTTGCTTTCGAGAAATTTCGCTCCTACTTGCTTGGCACTAGAGTTGTAGTGCATACTGATCATTCCGCTTTGAGATATTTGATGTCAATGAAGGATGCAAAATCGAGGTTGATTCGTTGGATATTACTATTGTAAGAATTTGACTTTGAGGTAAAAGATAGAAAAGGGACCGAAAATCAAGTTGCTGATCACTTGTCCCGATTAGAAGATGAAGCAATGATAGAGTTGGGTGAAAAGGCTGAGATTGATGTTACTTTCTCTGATCATCATGTATTGGATGCCTCCCAAGACTTGATCCCATGGTTCGTAGAATTTATGAATTATCTGGCTAGTGATATCGTTCCACCAGACTTGTCCTTTCATCAAACGAAAAAGTTCATGAATGATGTGCAAAAATTCTTTTGGGATGAGCATACTTATATAGGAGTTGTGTTGATGGGCTTATTCAGCGTTGTGTGTCGGAAGTTTAGATGTTGAGTGTTTTGGAGGCATTCCATTCTTCGCCTGTAGGTGGGCATCATAATGGTATTTGAACTACTCACAAGATCTTGCAATGTGGCTACTATTGGCCAACCATCCACCAAGATGCTCATGAGTTTGCCAAAGCATGTGATAGATGCGAAAGAGACGATGGCATTTTGTGAAAGCAAGAGCTCCTTGTAAACCCCATTTTGGTGATTGAGTTGTTTGATGTGTGGGGCATTGACTTTATGGGCCCTTTTGTGAGTTCTCATGCGATGAAGTACATTCTTGTGGCAGTCGATTATGTGTCTAAATGGATGGAAGCCATTGCACTCATGATTAATGAAGGGAAGAGTGTCACCACGTTCTTGAAAAAGAACATATTTTCCAGATTTGGCACCCCAAAGGATATTATTAGTGATGGGGGATCTCACTTTTGCAACAAGCTATTTAAGGGATTATTAAAAAAAATATAGGGTTCGCCATAATGTGCCACTCCTTACCATCCTTAAACTAATGGGCAAGTTGAGGTGTCAAACAGGGAGATTAACAAAATTTTGGTAAAATCAGTGAATGCTAGTAGAATGGATTGGTCAAGGAGGCTTGATGATGCTCTTTGGGCCTACCGGACAACATACAAGACTCCCATAGGTATGTCCCTATACCAACTTGTGTATGGGAAGAATTGTCACTTACCGGTTGAATTAGAGCACAAGGGGATGTGGGAAATGAAGAAGTTGAAAATGGATTGGAATGAGACTACGGAACAGAGGTTAAACGGGTTGAATGATCTTGATGAATTTATCTTGTAGGCATATGAAAGTTCATCCCTCTAAAAAGAAAAGATGAAAAAGTACCATGACCAAAAGATTGAGAAGCGCAATTTTTTGGTCGGGTATTTGGTGCTTTTGTTAAATTCTAGGTTGTGTTTGTTTCTGGGCAAACTCAAGTCCAAATGGACTGGTCCCTATTCGATCACCCAACTATTCCCTCATGGTGCGGTTGAGTTGGAGAACAAGGTGGGTGTGAGTTTCAAGGTGAGCGGGCAGCGAATCAAAATATATCTAGGGAATGCTAAAACGACGAACAAAGTGATTGAGGCATACCATCTTAATTAAGTCTGAGTAATCAAGATCCCTCCTCCGTGATGCGACGTTAAATCAAGCGCTGATTGGGAGGCAACCCAATATGTATCCTCTAGCAAACTATAGGGTTTTTATGATTCTCAAGGTATATTTGCATTATTTTTGCTTTTATTTATCTAATGTTCTGTCTGACTGCTCTTTTCTTTTTCATTACTAGTGTTGGATAGAGCATAGACTAGGGCCCGTGTTCAAAAAGAGTCCAGAAAATATAAAAAGACTAGCTTAATGGGAGCTCAATGTGCAGGTATCAAACCACCAGAATTTTGCACAAAAACTGGTCTGCTTTACCCATCGATGGACCGTCGGTGGAATCCATCATGCCCAGATATGTCTTTTACATTTTCCAAGTTAGGACACCCTCGGCAGACCCCCAGTGATAGACCGTCAACACTGTTATGGTCCGTCGACAGGGAATCGTTGTGTCTTTACTGATCGACCTGACCCGACCTATACGACTGAATATTAAAAGTTTTAAACTTTTGAAATTCCCACCTCTTCACATAACCCCTCATAACTGTTTCTCTCCTAATTTCCTGCCATTTCTCCCCACTTCATCACCATTAACTCCCATTTCTTCTTCATCTTCTAATTTCCCACATTTTCCCCAAATTCCCATAGTCACTTTCTCTCCCAAATTCACCCAGTTTCTTCAGTCCAGTGCTGGTCAGTGTTCCTGGTTGTTGTTACTGTTGTTCAAATCCTAGAGTTCATACTCTTATTCCCCTACTACAGTTGTCAGGTGTTGTTCTGATCTGCTCAGATTAGCTTTTGTTAATATTCCAGATTACTATGTTGTCTAACTGTTTGGGTACTTAATTTTGGACCATGTTGAATGCTTAAACTTCCACATAAATGTCCTATGTCCCTTAGAACAATGAAATTGAAATGGATGAGGGTGTGTTGTTAAAAAAAATAGAGTGTGTTTGTATGATTGTGTTCCTGACCTAGGGTTTGATAGGGTGTCGAAAATGCATGTTAGAACTAGGAAAATTCATGCCCTATGAATGATGGGATATTAGGTAAATTTTTTATAAACTTATGCTTCTAAGAATACTTCAAATTAATATGATAGGGTATAAATGTTTTGTTGCAAAACTTTGTGACCTCGATGGTCCGTCGCTCTAGTCGTCGACTCAGACGCAATTTTTGGCTAATATTCCTTAAATAGATTTTCCCCTTTTTTTAGGACTCTACTATTATAAATACTTGTAAAAACCTCGTTTTTGGGGTTAGACTCTTGGATATTTGCTAGTTTTATTATTTTAAGTGTTGAATTTTTTGATTTTGTGATATTCACTTTATTTTATGGAATCGTTTATTTCAAGTATTTGATTAATTCAAGTAATCTTATGGATGTTCTTCAGTCTCATCAAAGTAAGTGCATGATTTCATATATAATTAATATGAATTGTATGATTATTAACATGGGTAACTAAACTCCGTAATTAGGGTTGTGGGAACCATGGGTAAATAACAAGGTAAAACCTAGCTAAAATAACAATTCTCGAATAGTGTCTTGCATGTATTAATAATTCTTTCATTTAGAAGTCTTTTCTATGAGTGAACGCGTTAGAACTCACCTTGTTTCTACTTTTCAAGGAGGTACATAATAAGAAAAGAATTATCAACGTAAATTTAGTATACACTGTCTAATACTCTATTGTCGGTTGGTGTGAAGTAACTACTAAGACAAACATCAATTATGATGCTTAATATGAGGTAAAGGTAAGGTTTAGTAAAGCATATACATGTAGTCGTACCAAGGTGCGGAGTGCAATTTCCTAGTTTCTATACCAAGGAATTAGAATACATAATTTATCACTTTACATGCAAGATACTAGGAAAGGATTGTTATAGCTAGAATTACCGCATTATGAACCTGTGGGAATACTTAAGCGTTAGTTACTCTCATTACTTGATAAAAATCAAATCTTTGAACCTGTTACTTATTTTGTTAGAAATAGATAATTGTAGTTATTTCTTAAAACCCCCCCTTTTTTGTTACTTTGTACTTGGAAAGGACTTGACTAAATAGAAGTTATAATAGGTTAAAGTTAAGTCTAAATCATTTTCCTCGTGGTATCGACCCCAACCTCATAGTTGGGTTCTTTACTTGATACGATCACTTATACTTCTTTTAGAGAAGTAACTTTAAGCGTATCATGTTTGCAGGAAAATTGTCCACAATGAAAACGTTGAAGACTGTGCTGAAATTTATAGAAGTGATGACTACGGAGCCATTGATGGTCCATAGGTGGCAACCGTCGTTTGAAGATTTCTGCTGTTAAGGAAAGATCATGGATTTCTGACTAATTATGGGGCTAAAGAAGGGATGACAGTCCGTCGTCTCATCGGCGGACCGTCCTAGCAAACCGTTGGTGTTAACAGAATGTAACCCCAGTACCTAATATATAAAAGATTCTACGTATGGAGCAACGAAGGCCATCGACGGACCGTAGTTCCATTGACGGACCGCAATTTGGGTCTGTCGATGGTAACAGAA